GTGCCCCTGGCAAACCCCAGCGCGGCGTCCTCAGGCAGCCAGCCCGGTCCCTGCGGCCACCCGGTCCCCTCTAATGACAGGGCTGTGCTTACAGGGGCCGCGCCAGGGACCGTGGCCAGACCCCCCCACCCCGCAGCTTGGCACGGGGACCCAGCCAGGTGGTGGCTCCCACGGCCCCCTCCCTTCCGCTGGCCGGGCCGGCATCCCCAGGCAGGGGGTCACCGCTACAGGGCTGGGCCACCCCCCATCCTGTCCCTGGGACATTGCAGGGGACGGCGGCAGCAGGAGCGTCCCCCGTCCCGCACCTAGGTGTCCTGCCCGCCCCGGGGAGCCCCGAGCCCACCCTGCGGCAACTCTCACTGCTCTCGCTGTGGCGCGGAGCAAAGCTGGGCACGGAGAGGCTGCGCAGCCACGGGGTGGCCCTCACCAGTGTGGGGACCCCCCAGAGCCGGCCCTACCGCGCACCTTCACCTATAGACACCGACAGCAGCGTCCCTTGGGAGGGCACGTGGCTGGGCAGGACCCCAGGTACAGGCAGGAGGGCAACGGGCAGCGAGGGAGGGGGCAGCCAGAATCCTCCCACAGCAGCACGGGGCAGCACCCGGGGGCTAGGGAGCAGTGAGGGGGTGCGGGGCAGAGCCCACCCAGCGCAGACCCTGCCTGGGCTCGGGGCCAGCCCTGCCCCTGCTCCCGGGAGGAGGCCAGGCCCCGGGCGGGCTGGGGCGGAAGGGCTGCCTGCAGGGAGGCGCAGGCACCGGTGCCAGGAAGGTTGTTAGGGCGATCAAATCCCACGCTCCTGGCAGCCGCTTGAAGCAGTGCAGCGAACCCGAAGGGCACGACAGCAGGGCCAGGCGGCCCCCACCGGCCGCAGGGCTGATCCCCCAATGGGACCCCGCAGCCCGTGCCTGGAGCCGCCATGCGGGGGGGTGGACTCCTCCCCACAGACCCGGGAACCACCACCGAGCTGCTGACACAGTTCCCCCCCAGGAGCAATCCTGTCTCCTGACACCAGATCAGAGACCGCTGGGGCCTCTCCGGCAGGAGAAGTGTGGGGCAGCCCCGTCCGCCCCTGGGGACCGACTGCCCGCGTCCCTGCCTGCACCAAGCAGCTCAGGGGCAGCCATAGGCACCGTGTCCCCTGGGACCTGCTGCCCCCCCTGCCCTGGGGACCTGACTCAGAGCAGCACGGTCCCCACTCCGGGGCCATGGGAGCCCACGCCAGCATGCGAGTGGGAGAGCAGCGGGGCTGGAGCCGTGCCTGGCATTGCTCAACCCCTGGCAGCGTTTCGCAAGCGGGCAGTGCTGCTCATCACCCAGCACGGTGCATGGCGGCTCCTGGCAAGCACCGTGCCGGGTGGGCGCAAACCCCTCAGCGGCAGCTCTGTGCTGCGAGGCAGGGCCACCTGTGGGGCCACACTGGGATGGGGCTGAGCCGCAGGACACTCTCTCTGCTTGGAGGGAGCCGGTGGGTGCGGGACGGCTGCGGCCGGCCGGCCGACAGGGCCGCACATGCCAGGTCCACTCCCCGGCCCCATGTTTCTCACCTGCCGAGGGTCGCTGTCGGGCTCAGGAGCCAGGAGGGAAGGGCATGGAGCTGCCTCACGTTGCTCTGGCACCCACTGGAAAATAAAAAGATGACAAGGGCTGAAGCGCAGCGGCAGCATCCTGGCTCTTCTCCCACCTCCTGCGGTGTCCTGGGGCCCAGGGACCACCCCCCGCCCCGAGAGCCGGGTCCGGCACGGGAACGCTGCCAGGGCCGCACAGGAACACCCTCGCGCATGGATCCAGCCCCAGTGGTGCAGCCGGCAGAGACAGCGGGACGGCGGGAAGGGGCCAAGGTGCGAC